GTGTTCTGAGTAAATACGATGAATCTGTGAATGTAAACATCATAAAGTTTTATCTAGAATAAAAAAAAACAGAAAAAAAACCGAAGTGAATCTAAATCAGCGTTAAACCGATAGCAGATGAAAGACTATAAAATTTAAAAAAAAATTCTGAATAAATCAAAAAAAATTATGATAGAAATGGTTTTTTTTTTTTCTGCTGATTACGAATGGCAAATCAAACTGATATTTTTTAAACTGTCGCTGTACATTAATTAACATTTCTGTTCTGTATACATCAAACCACAGTTCAGCAATAGCAGCAGTTCAAACAACAAACACTTGGCAATTATGAATTGTACAAAAACAGAAGAAGAAGAAAAAAAAATGAGTAAGTTAACAGTTAATTATCAACTATTATCCTGTATTAATTATCGAAAAGGTTAGACAACACAAAAAATAGAAGAAAAAAAAAAGCAAGAATTATAATGAGTTTACTGGTCTTTTTTTTTTGTTTACCACTTTTTGCTTATATTTTTTTTTGATGAACAAAATGATTAAGGTACACCAAAAGGAAAAAAAACTGACAAAAATTGGATGAAGAGAAAAATAAAGAGTAAAGTGGCAAAAAGCAGTTTACAAAAAAAAAAAAAAAATGCAGATAAGATATTTTTGATGATAGATATAGCCTTCTAAAAAATGCTTCCTCTTTTTTTGTTTTTACGATAGCTCTACTCGTTTTACAGCAGGGTATGTTTTTAGATGATTCAATTTACACTCTTAATCCGTTCAAAATTTTTTCTTGATCACATCACATTCACCCAGTAACTATTTTTTACAAACTCAAAATCTTATTTTAACACACACACACACAGATCTAACTGTTGGCAAAATTTCTTGTTTCCTATCTATTGCATACTTTTTTCTGTCTTTTGTTTTTGTTTTCTTTTTTTTGGTCATCTTTAAAACTTTTTTAAAAATTTTATGGCTTAAATTATATGCAGCAGATAGAAGAAATGCGCTGTTACAGTTTATAGCTTAATCATCTTTTTTTTTTTCTACCTTTTTCTGTTTTACAGTAGCATTTATAATTTGAAAACAAAAAGCAAAATTCATTCTACTAATTTGGTTGATTTTTTTGATAGATACTGATAAAAATTTTAAAGTATTGTTTTTTTTTTTTCACTTGAGAACAAAAAAAAAAATTTTTTTTTCAATACTCATCACAACAGCGGTATCGTTACAGCAATTTTCTACTATATATTGCCGTTGTTACAAACAAAGAAGACAACTATTTTTTGGAATCGATCTAACTGATGAATTTTGACGATGAATTCTTTAAAGTGTGGAATTCTGTTTGGCTGTTTCTGCTTGCAAATTTTTTTTTCTTTCCTCTCTTCTCCAATTTTTTTCTTTTTTTTTACAACTATTAACCTTTGATATAGAGAAATATAGATATTTGTTTTTTTTTTTCTCCTTTCCCATCAAAAGATTCTATTTAGTTTCTATTGTTGGTTCAACGTGTATCGAAACGATGGAGTAAATAAACAGAAAATGAAACAAGAATCACGATTTTAGTCATACTGGCCATCTTTTCTCTTTTTTTTTTTTTCTTGGCTATTGTGCAGTCTGAAGTGTCACGTTTACTGTGAATGGTATATATCGTTACCGAGTTGCTTTGCCAAAAAAAGAATACCTTAGCTGTCGAACGCTATGGTGATCTTTTCTGGTTGTCTTTTGTTTTCGTCGTCGTCTTCTTCTTCTTCTTCTTCTTCTTCTTTAACATCTACTTCTTACTCCACCTTCTGTATCTTCGTTTACATCGTCTTCTGCATTTAACATCTTCTGCTTTTGCTTCTACTTCTGTTACCGCCACTGCTTCTGTTGTTGTTGTTGTTGCTGCTGCTG